TTTATTTATTTATCAGCACAAATGCAACACACAAACACACACACACACACACACACACACACACACACACACATGTACTGAAAAATAAAAATAATAATAAATAAAAAGCATTTGAATGTGGACTTTTAAAAAGTACTAGCAGATATAATACAAATCAAGTTGAGAAAATGAGAAATTGAATGAAATTAAAATACTTATCAATCACTTTTTTAATTTTTAAAATTCCATGAACTATTTGCTTTTATTATTTTTTTCACACTTTAATAGTCATTTGTTTTTGTACGGCTATCAAAGGGCCATGAAAATTGTACTTATGCATCTACATATATATATATATATATATGTTCTGCAATTCTTAAAAGGACAGCTTCTGACCAACAGTGGTGATCATTAGAACAGTGTTTTTCAACCTTGGCCACTTGAAGATGTCTGGACTTCTTGTGGCCAAGGTTGAGAAACACTGCATTAGAAACATAATTTTTCCAGCCTCAAGTGTTTTCCACACCACTGCATTCTGGGAGTTGTAGTCCTAACACTTCTGCAGCCCATCAGACTGGAGAGGTTTTCCTTTTGATCTTTGAGGACACCAACTCCTGTCTTCATGGTGTTTTTTTTTAAAAAAAATTTGCTTTGCTTGACGGCTTAGTTTACACTAATACTAAGAGGCATGCAAGACCAGTAGCAAAACTATTAATGCTTTTGTGACTGGTGTTGAAAAAGGAAGCTCTCGAGCAAATGTAGTCGCTGAGGAATGATAGATATGCAATAGGTTTTTTGAACGTTTAATTACTTTAAAAAAAAAAAGAATTGAAAAATAGATTCAATACAATTATCTAAAAAGTAGCAGGATGTTTGATCAGAATATAGAAGGAGAGGTAGCAGGAGAGAGGAATTATAAACTGCTCACCTCCCAGATATGAGAAAATCTACAAAAGAAGAAAAAACACTGAATCATACCATGCAATACATTGGATATACAAAGGGAAAGTTTTCCTGGAAGCAAAAAGATGAAAGAAGCTTCTTGTCATGATTAAAATTACTTTTCTTCTTTCCCAGGATAAAACTTTTGGGTTCTCTCTCTATTTTATGAAACTCATAGTGTATTTTTAATTATTTTTTGCCAGGAAAGCTCAGGGAGGGTTTTTGTAATGAATGAAAAAATTGTCTGATATAAGAACTTCATACATTCTCTTAGTATTTTTTTCCTCCTAGTATTTTTTTTCCTCCTATTACATGATTTTTGCAAATTTTGTGTAAAATGAAACCAGCATTTGATATTTATATTCTGCTTCTACCTCCCTCTACCCCAATCTCATTGCTGGCTTGTGGATTAATACATTCAGTTTGACAACAGCTTTGATCATCATATGCTTAATGAAAACGTCTTTGGTAATTTTTCTACTAATGATTTTAAAGCAATCTATCTATGGCTAATTTTAACCTACGTAGCCTGGAGGAGGCATTGCCGTTTAGAATGTATAGGAAAACTTTAGCTTATTTTCCTTTCTTCGGCACAGTTTGGTGATTCCCAGCAGCTTCGTCTCGTCCGAATCCTGCGGAGCACCGTTATGGTTCGTGTTGGAGGTGGTTGGATGGCACTAGATGAGTTCTTAGTGAAAAATGATCCTTGCAGAGGTATGTAAGAAAATAGCTTGGATGTCACATTCATTAATTGTGTCCATAACTGCCCCCACTGCTTAATTGGAGGAAAGGAAATATCAGCTGTGTCAATTCCGCATCTTAACTCAATCTTAATTTACTTATGATGATATACTTTTGTACATATCAATATGCAAAAGGACTGCACACCGAAAAATCTAGGGGCAGAGCTGAGCAGACACAAATGGTCTCCAAATGTTTTGTATATCAATTTCTGCCATGCAGGTAACATGGATAACGGCAAGGAATGGTGGGGGTGGCATTCCAAAATAATTGTAGAAGCCTCCTGTCGCCTGAGATTTCTCTTACGTGCTGAGAAAACTCAACAAGACACAGGTAGCCTTCTACTTACAGCCATTAATTTAGTGACTCTTCAGAGTTACAATGGAACTCAAAAAAAAAAGTGACTTTCAACCAGATCTTGCATTTACAACTGTTGCAGCGTCCCCACCAGTGGCGGGGTTCAGAAATTGTTCGAACCTACTCTGTGGGTGTGGCGTCCTTTGTGGGAGTGGCTTGCCGCCCATGTGACCGGATGGGAGTGGCTTGCCGCCCATGTGACCAGATATGAAGAAGCCGACGACACTTGTCAGAACCACCTTAAATTACCTCACACACAGCACTGGCATTCATAAGAATATGGTGTAAACTTGTTTTTTAAAAGG